ATGAGTAATTATTAGGTGCAATGTTCACTTACTTCACATTATTTTAACTAATAACAAGTGATTGATGACCCTTCAAATAGTAAAATAACAGGGCATTTACATACTATTAAACCCTAATTTGTCTGTGATTCATACCTCAAGTGAAGAATTAGATCATGAATAAAGAGTGAGCTGGATATAATGAATTATAGGATATTGGTGGCCTCCTTTGACCTCCCAATAAACTGACTACATTCATTCCTGCCCTTTATAAAGAAGAGCTTTTCCTATGAAATATACATAGATGATGATTATGCCTGGACGCCAACAAACATTTTATTACATATCTTTATCTTTTTCTGGCACGGATATTATAATTAATATTATCTTGACAATTTCTACACTAATAATCATTATGTCAGTCAACTGGATCATTGGAAGTGTTCTTCTAGGATAGTTATTTTCATAGTAGAACTTTTCTGGGAGAGCTCTAAGAGAGGTGTTCTAGGAGAGTTCTCCTAGAATAGTTGTTTCCGGAGAGAATTTATTGACGAGATCAACTGTTGAATGAACACTATTGTTTTCTTGGATGAATTCAACTCCCGGACAAACTGAGCTATTTTCTTGGACAATTCAACTCTTGGATGACCTGAGTTGTTTTCCTGAATGATTTCAACTCTTGGATGAACCGCGAGATGTTTCCTGGATGAATTTAACTTTAGTTGAATTCTCTAGTGCAATTCATTTTATTGGTTACTCTTTGTGACTCAATTTTGCTCCTTGTGTAACTCCTCTCATCTATGGATGATTCACATTCACGGTACATTTCAAAGATGTTGAATCTTATTTTGTCTGTAGATTCACACCTCAAGAAAATAACTAATAAATGAGGGGATAGTGAGCTGGAGAGAAGGGAATGAAGAGGATTGCAATATTAATTCGTTGGGTAGCAGTTTAACAATTTGTCTGTCTTACATTAATTCTCTACCCATACAGGAGTATTTCTCCTATAAAATATACATATGTGAACATTATACTCAGATCTCTCTAACTCTTTATACTCTGTCTATATGACATTCCATCTTCCATCCTATATGCACTTCGTACTATGGTCACATCCCAACATCCATTCAACACTCTCCTTAAAATTCACTCAAAGAACAACTTGCCTATGGAGTGGGAAGATTTCTCGTTCATCATGACGATTGAGAATAGGAGTGTGACTCATGATGAGACTATCAAATAGTTCTTTCTCTGATGTAGAATGATGTCCAACAGGTGATTGCTCGTACTCGACTGCTCGTACTCAGCTGCTCGTGCTTAGCTGCCCATCGAACCGTGTTTTTGGTGGATTAAGTTGAAAGGTTTATTAAGCCTGCCTAGACTATTACTGGCCCAACACGGCTGCTTTTTTTCATAGACATACACACCACTCAATTCTTATATATTTACATATCTAACACCTAAACTAAACCATTTACATATTCATACCGCCCAAATTTTTTACATCACATGAAAAATACAACAATTTTAACTTTAATAAAGTGAAAAACACATTTTTCATGCATAGGCAAAGTGTCAAAATTGAAGTTGAGGTGTTCGAGGTGTGATTGTATAAGAATTGAGTGTTATTGTTTTCATTCGTAGTTCCTTCTTTCATCCCTAAAAATAATAAAATTTGAGCAATCTTTAACTCTGAACATCCCTGTCTCAGCTAAATCAAGGGCCAGATAAGCATAACAATGAATATGCTACAAAATTTAATTGAAGGAAAAAATAAAATCATAAACAATCAAAATTTGCTTTCCTATACAGTAGAAAACAAACTCTCAATCCTTTTATTACACCAGCAAAAGCATAGTTACGCCCCATGCCAAAGAATAATGAAATACATAAATTACAACAAAAACTGCAACAAGATGCACACATTACTATGAAACCGTTGATGTTAAATGACAAGAATAGCTCATATATCACCTGCGGAAATATTTGACGCTTCAGCTATACTTCCCAGCATGAATCCTGGAAGAGAAGACGGTTGTTCTTTTATCCAAACGCCTGTTGAAACCTTCATGACGTTTTCTCATTGGAAGAATTCAATCAAAAATAATATATAACCAAGCTTTTGAACTTAGAATACTTTTAAAGTATAAAATATTAGCTCAGCATTATAGATGGTAAGCTAGGTGGATCGGGTGATATCCGGTTGGCCCAGAAATTAGCAATCTTGGCGATGTAACAATTCCCATTCCAAACAACTGTCTTGATGCCTGCTTATTGGATTCAAAGGATTAGAATATGTTATGAAGAAATGGAAATTAAAAAATAAATAAATAAACGAAAAAGGAAAACAAACATGTTTTTAAAATAAATACAAAAACAAAATATTAAAAATAAGCGATCGCAAGAAAAAGCCCTTGGCAATCAACTTCTGCAATAAAAAAATGTACAAATAAAAGTTTTTTTCAAAAATATATGTGGGCAAAGGTGAAGAATTCCTCCACCTCAGAAACCCCTTTAAAATTTGCAAATGCATAGTTTCATGATACCTGGTAGCTTGTCAAGTGGTAGCAAGGAGAATTTGCAAAATCCATTCTCGGGTTGGAATACAGTGTCCTGAAATTTTGGCTCATCGACTTTGTCAATAAAGTTGATGGACTCCAGCAATGGCTTTGCTAAGCCATTATCATCATGATCCATGTTGCTGGAGATGCTTTGGAGAGCTTCTTCCAAACCAGAATTAATCCATGCCTCTTTACTCTTCTCCAAGCTAGAAACCATTTCAGTTGAATATTCCAGATTAGACAGCAACCAAGGCCTATAAAACTTCTTTGTGGCTTTGAGAAATTTTGACACTCTGTAAACTTCTCCAAGAGCAAGGAAATATTTGTGTCCTGAGAAAGACGACTTGAAGTAATTACTGGGAAATTGATGGTCAAAACTAGGGGTGTAACTAGGCTACGCTGCCTCATGAGTTGGCTTGGACTCGTCTCGATAAGTGGCTCGTGAACAGAGATCGACAAGCCAAAGAGTCAAGCTCCAGCCAGCCCTAACTCGACTCATTAGCTCGTCAGCAGATTGGTTCATAAATAAATTAATATAAAATATACTAAAAATGTATTAAAATTTAAGATTTTATCTTTAAATTATTAAAAATGTTAAAAAAAATGATATTTTACTTTTATATCAATTGATTTCTTACCATTTATCTTATGAATGCTCATTTTATGTCATTTATTACAACACTAGCTTGAATTAATAATGTTTTCTCTCTTTCATAAAAAACAAGCCGGCTCAAACTCGTAGAATTATACACGATAATTAATAATGTTTTCTCTCTTTCATAAAAAAACAAACCGGCTCAAACTCGTAGAATTATACACGAGCTCGAGGTCGATTAATTGATCATGGTAAGGCTCAAGCCAAGGATGGTTCGAGCTCAACGGCTCATTTACACCCCTACTCGAAATAATTTTTTTTCCAGCTTATTAGTCTGTGTGCTTTTGTGCACATGGAAGAGAAAAAAAAGGATGAAAATCAATAACATTTAGTTACCTTTCTTTAAAATTTGTTTGGCAATATTGCCATTGAGTGACTCGGTCCAGATTTTAGCACCCAGTTGTAGCTCCTCCGCACATGCTGAAGCTAACTTAGACCATGCATTAATATAAAATAGCTGCTGCGCTCTAGACGTTGATCTCAAAATTTGTAGAACTGAGGAGGAATGTTCAAAAAGATCCACAGCGGCATTCAAGTGTTTTTCCGCCTATAAATAAGTCAGCATTAGCCTAATAAAATCAAGGAAAATTTACATATATACCAGTTAATTCTTGTGTATTTAAATATCTAACTCCGAAACATATATACATATATATATATATATATATATTAAAAGATTAGCCGGAGGCAATTAGACGAGCCTCCCAACCAACCACATGTGCCTAAGAATTTCATTCCGCACATAGGCGGGATCAAATCCGTGACCCTAGGGGTCTTACAAATTCTGTCAACCAAAGAATCACGGTAGACATATATATATATATACACACCCACCTTACCTATGCATTAAAAGATGTATTCTACTTTTTAAAAGTTAAAATAGTGGTATTTTTTATGTGAAAAGAAAGATTTGGGTGGTACAAAAGTAAGAAGTTCTATTTAGGTGTTAGATAGGTAAATACATAGGAATTGGGCGATATGTATGCAAATGCCCCTAAAATCGAATAATTTGAAGTTAACAATCTAAAGAGGCTATCTCCCGGGATAAAAGTCGAAATGAGTGAAATATTGATAAAGAAGAAATGAACTACAAAATACATCCAAGACATTACTAGAGCACTGTCCTACATGCTAAACCAACTAAATCTTCCTACTATAACCTTATCCTCAATAAGTCCTAACCCCACCATGTTAAATACATAATTATTTTGCACTCCCATCCTTAGTAGTTTTGTTTTTACAACAAAATGATTTTGGCCTTCTCGTTTGTTCCCATTATCTTGTATGATAGTAGTTTCTTCATTGTCAAACAGTTGGATCCATAAAATATGGTCTCTCTGTTACTCTATTTCAAAAGGGTATACCTAATACAAGAGGCTCCCTCCAATGCTCCTCCTAGTGGGAGGGTGTGGGGGTTGAAACATAAAACCTTATCTTGTATTGTAGAAAGAATTTTCTCCATGATTTGAGTTCATCATTGAAAGTCACAATGCGCGCCACCTAATAATTTCTCCAAAGTCCTCTATCAATTTGTGTATGTCCATAAAACTTAAGCTGATTTAATGAATAAATTTATTTTGAACCCACAAATGATGCTCTTAGCTTTAATAAAGATGGGGGCTTTATTAAAGATAAAATAGAAGACAAATGGATGTGGAATGCTAAATTTCCGCCAATAATCATTTGGTTGTGTTTGACCTTCAAAGTGTAGTCACAACTGTGATCTCTGAGAAATAAAGTAGGGGCTTTTACAGACATATCACTCAATTCCTATGTATTTACATATCTAACACCTATACTTCACATATTACATTTATACCGCCCAATCTTTCATATTGCATAAAAAAATATCATCATTTTAACTTTTAAAAAGTGAAATACGCCTTTTTATGCATAGGTAAGGTGGCAAGTACATAAAAATTGAAGTTGAGGTGTTAGATATGTAAACACATATGAATTGACATGTAAATCTTTCAAAAAAAAGTATAATAACAAACATTCTAGAAATGATGCACCAACTCCTATAATATCAAAGTACGCACTATCTGACAAATAAAAGATATGTCTACACCCGATACATTTCAGATCCCTGTAAGACAAGCCATAAATTGTCCTAGAAAGTAAATAAATAAATTACTAAATGATGGTTGTATCAAACACACATTTTGTGGGTTAAACAAAACAGTGATGATAAATATTGAGGAATTAGAAAGAGTTCAAGACTAAAAAAATGCTTTTAATTTTGAAAGAAAAAAGAGAAATTCCTATAATAATTAATTTATTTAAAATGCCTCCATTTAATAATTTCTCTTCTATATTTCCTTTTATGAACAAATACTATTATTATACGAATTGGATTATATGCATTGATAAAAAATTTTTGCAATTACTATAACTTGCTTTAGTTTTTCAATATATATATATATATACCGCGCCGTGGTGTTGTTTTTCGACTTGCACTTGTAGATATAATATAAGAAAATAATGAAGGGTTTAACATAAATGATATAAGTGAGTGGAAAAATTTCTTTCTTCTTATTTCCGAATTGAACTCATATGTTACATATTTATAGACACTCCCCTCTCTAGAGATTACAAATATAACTAATATAAAATAAATCTGAAAATAAATCTCCTCAAATTAGTTTACCTAATAAACAAGTTACCTAATATATAAGCTTTAAATTTAGTATTTTCCATAACACCCCCTCCCCCCTCAAGTTGAAATATAGATATTTATCATGCCCAACTTGTTACAAATATAAGTAACTCTCAATTCATTAAGGGCCTTTGTGAAGTGCCCCATAGTTGTTCCTCAGTCTTTACACGAGCTGTAAAAATTAAAATTTCTTAAATCTTTTCATGAACAAACTGACAAGACGCACGAGAGTGCTCCTTTTCTAGATCTAGAGGCACGGGCAGGGCAAAATTGGGTCGTTTTCTAGCTACGTGATACTACGTGTTTTGGCACTTTTGTTTTTTGGGCTCTCACTTACTTTTTTGTATTTTCTCTTTTTTGAAACCATTTGGATGTGGTGTTTAACGTGTGGGTACGGTGACATGCTTGGGCCCTCTCATACAATATATCTGTATCTTTTTTTCTTTTTAATATATTAGCCCTTGGGCTTTCTCAATATATATATATATATATTATTTATTTATAAAGCCCAAAAAGGCTGATATATTAAATAGAAAGAAAGATACAGATACAATGTGTGGGAGGGCCCAAGCATGACACCCTGCCCACACAATAACCACAAATGGTTCCAAAATTAGAAAATACAGAAAAATACATAATATATATATATATATATAATGTCACGCCCCACCAATATTATGACATGATGGAGTATTCTAGAAGATGGAGGCCTAAAGAACAACCTAGAAGAATCTAGAATATGTATGTACATAAGAATAGTGTAGAACTATCTAGAAGCTAGAATATTATATTGTAAAGCTCCCCTTGGAGAATAGTCCCACATTGGCAAGGTGCTCTTTCTAAAGCATCCAAGGTTTCAAGCTTTCAAGCTTTGTAATTTTTTTTTATTAGTGAAGCTTTATCTTCTCTAACTCTTCTTCCTATTCTACTTTCAAGAGAGTGCTTTTGAGTTCTTAGTTGGGAAAGTTAGACTGATTTAGTGCTAAGAAAGAGCACTAAAGCCGCATGAATAACTCGAGGAAAGTTAGTCCGTGACAGTTGGTATCAAAGCTTTGGTTCGAGAGAATGACGAAAAGCGTCAAGGAGCACGTGATGGAGTCGGAAGCCACTATTGTGGAGTCATCTCAGGGGCGAGGTCGCCAGGAGCAAAGGAACCCCATTGCACCTAAGCCACAATGGAGGTCTAAGGAGATCATGCATATCTTTGATTCACTTGCTCGAATGGAGGAGGCAAAGAATGGCGTGGAAGGCCAAGTAGAGGACCTTGGCCAAAGGGTTGATGGACTTGAGGAGGAGGACGTCACCATCTATTCAACAGTCAGAGGTATGATGCTCCAACTTTAGGAGACTTTAATGGGTCAAATGGCTAAGTTGCAGGAGGATTTTATTAGGACGCTCCAAGAAGTGCGAAGTGCCCACAAAGAAGAGATGAATGACATTCATGCTAGCTTGGAGGAGAAGCGTGGGGACATTTTGTTGTGGAAAAGGGCACTAGCGACACGGGCATTTTGTTGTGGAAAAGGGCACTAGCGACACCCACCAACCATCAAACCTTCGAATCTATAAGGATTGAGATGTCAAAACCAAAGAGTTTTGGAAGGAATCGTGATGCGAAAGAAGTGGATAACTTCTTATGGGGTCTGGAGCAATACTTCAGAGCAATGGGGATCATGGATGAAGAGGCAAGAATTCAATTTGCTACTATTTATCTTTTAAATATTGCTATGCTATGGTGGAGAAGAAGGCGAGGAGATGTTGAAAAAGGTATGTGTACTATCTCCACTTTTGATGACTTTAAGAAAGACTTAAAGAGACAGTTCTACCCTGAAAACGCGGAGGATGAGGCTAGAGCCCAGTGGCGAAAGCTCAAGCAAGTAGGAACGATTCGAGAATATATCAACGAGTTCACTAGTTCGGTCTTTGAAATCCCTAATATGTCATACATGGATGCTCTATTCAACTTCATGGATGAACTCCAACAATGGGCAAAGACAGAGCTTAGGAGGCGTGGTGCACAAGATCTCACTTCCGCCATAGCCATTGCAGAAAGCTTGGTGGACTACACATAAGAGTCTACAAAGCCAAAAGATAAGAAGAACAACTATGTCAGAAGTGGGGGAGACCGGGAGCAACACAAGGAAGAGAATTATCGTGAATCGACCTCATTCAAAGCAAAAGACAAGGGGAAGTTTAACAACAACAACAAGACTAAACCATACAACAATTGCTTCCTTTGTGGAGGACCACATTGGGTAAGGGATTGCCCGCAGAAGAAAGCTTTGAACTCTCTCCTTGCAAGCCATCAAGAAGTAGAGGAAAATGACATGGACGCTCAGGTAGGAACCATGCAACTACTCAATGTCGTACGCTCTTCTCCAAACACTCCAGCAAAAGGACTTCTCTTTGTTGAAGTGACTATAGGGAAGACATCCACTAATGCGATGATAGACACAAGGGCTTCTCACAACTTCATGTTTATTGAAGAAGCGAGGAAGATGGGTCTGCAAATAACTGGAGGTGGAGGCTCCATCAAGGCAGTTAACTCTGGAGCTAGGCCAATCCATGGAGTGGCTAAAATTGTGAAGACCTGTGTAGGGGATTGGTCAGATACGCTAAACTTCTCCATCATTCCCATGGATGTCATTCCCATGGATGATTTCAACATGGATGATTTCAAAGTAATCCTTGGTATAGATTTCTTGGACCAAGTAAGGGCGTTCCTGATACCATTTGCCAATAGCCATGTGTATATGGGAGGCGACCAAGCTTGCCTTGTACCGGCAACAAGAGCTAGGCAGCAGGAGACCAGGATGTTGTCAGCCATTCAATTCAAGAAGGGCATTCAGCGAGAGGTGGAGAGCTACTTAGCTATCCTTTATGACTCCGAC